TATAGCCATGGACTGTACATGAGAAGTGGACATAGTCATCATGACGTCACCTGTTTTGAAGCCTCGAGTTTGGCTGATAGGCCGCCGCCATGTTTATTTGTTGCAACCATCGTGGCTGGTCCACGACACTGTTCAAGACCGAAATATCTATCAACTATTGGATGGATTGCCATGAAATGTTGTACAGACATTTACGGTCCTCTAGCGCCACCAGCAGTTTCAATTTGTCCAATATTTTGGTTCATCACCAAATACCTGTAAAACACTTAGCAGTACTTTGTGTTTAGTGCTAATTAGTATATGTTAGCATGCTTGCACACCTAACTGAGAACGTAAACATTACACCTGCTAAACATCAGCATGTTGTCATTGTAAGCATGTTAGCATGCAGATGTTAGCATTTAGCTCAAAGTAGGTGTGCCAAAGTAGTCACAGGTTATGGCTTTTTTAAAACACTGTTCACTCACCTGATACACAGAGACTCTACAGGGACAATTATTTGAAATTGGTTCCAGATGACATTATCCCCACAATTTAATTCATTGTTTATAAAAAACAATTTGAAACTCTCACATCTTGGCAAACAACCAAGAGACCTTCCAGGTTATCAGGGATGCATGTGCCTCTTCATCATTCTTTCAGATGCTGGATGATGTCACTGGTTTCTGGTATATAACCGCCCCTTACTGTCACCACAGAGAGAACAGCAGCTGATATCTTTGAAAATAATGGCTGGTGAATGGTACCAACCAATGGGGCAGCAAGTGATTAAAGGCCTGCAAGTGTATTATCATTGACAGACACCTGCATCCACAGCCGGTGAAGAACGAACGTGTGACGCTGTGTGTGTGAGTGTGTGTGTATGTTTAAATACCGTAGTGAGAAGCTCACTGATTTAAATTTGAATATTTCAGGAAAAGAAGGTGTGAATACAAAGCAGCTGTACAGCTGCCTAAAGGGACAGTTCTTTCTCTCTCTCTCTCTCTCTCTCTCCATATATATATATAGAGAGAGAGAGAGAGAGAGAGAGATATGTACATATATTTATATTTATATTTTCTATATATATATATATGGAGAGAAATAACTGTCACTTTAGGCAGCTGTACAGCGGCTTTGTAATCACACCTTCTTACATACATACATATATTTATATACTTATAGTTGTATATTTTATTATTTTTTTTATCAGCTGTAAGTCTCACATTTGGATTCCTGTATGTTTTGCTCATTTGCTTGAACATCTGTTGTACTGTGTTACTATCTTACATAGCTTCCTATGTGTCCCTTCTGTGCTCAGTGGTGAAATTAATGAACAAGCCTAATGACGCATTCACTCTGGGAAATTAATTTTCCCAGACAACATGGTCTGAAAGTTATTTTCTGTGGACTATTATATACAGTACATTAGACAGTATGGTATATTTTATATTGTTTGTGTTCTATACATTGTCAGTAAAGGCCTGATCGTGTTCAGAAGTCACTTTCCGTTCTTTTATACTACAAACAGTTGAGATGTTGCTCAAATGAAGTGTTTTGGATGACGGTTTGATTGAACTCCTCTTACTCTACAGACTGAGAAAATCAAGCATGACATTTAAATCTGGCCTTTCTGAGCGGCAAAATTATCAATACTTTGTCAATCAGCAGGGGCTTAAAGCGGATACAAACACTCAATATTTTAAATGCTGTCCCTCTCAAAACATCATATTCATGAAGCAATTCTAAACCAATCAGCATTTGTTGCTTAATAATATACTGTAGGCCTACTGTGTGTATTTTACAAAAGGGATTCTTTTTCTCTACATCTCTTTGAGGTGGGAAGGTATATTTGTGAAATGACTTGAATATTTACTGATTGATTGGTTGTTTTTATTGCAAATTAATCAAATAATTTGGCATCCCTCGAGGGATATCCATACAATTTTCCAGGTTAAACCACGCTGTGGAAAATCTGGCTCTTCACGTGCTGTGCTTTATAATAGGATCATCCTCCATCTGTTACTAAGCAGCACCACAGGTGTTCAGGCATATAAGGATTACTCGTGTGATTGTCAAAGCTTTTGTAAATGTCTTCTTTAATGTTTCACAACTGTTTCTGCTGCCTAAAACTGTGAGGAAGATCTGAAGCCTAAGTGTATGAATTTTTTGTGTTGTTGTGTATTTGTTTATGTGTACACTTTGTTGTACTTGCTGGACTTCATATTGTACATACTAGAAATTATGCATGTTACTAAAATACTGTACTTTTCGAGTGCGCCATGATTTCTCTGCATAAACCACTGATTATATATTTCTGTACTGTATCAACCTTTTCACAAATTTTTCACATTTATTTTCATCTGCAAGCTTCTGATTAGATTGTGTCTCTTTTTCTGATATTGATGTACTATATATGTCTGATTTATCTTGTCTCTCTTGATTATTTCATCTCTTTTTTATTATGTAAATGCTGGTTCTGAAAGGCGAAATCCCAGTAACAAAAAAAGAAAATGCAGAGCCAACTTGGATGTTCCTTGTTAAAACTTGCAGCTGTAAAAAACGTTCTTCACTTTAAAAATACTTTAATCCACAAGGTTTATGTTACAATAAATTTTTATACTTCTCATCAATAGCTAGAAAATACTGAAACCATTACACACATACATACACAAACACAGATCACTCCTAATGAGGAGCTGTGACAGAAACAGTGACGCACGAGTGACGAAACAGGAGAATGGACAGAATGTGGGAGATAAGGGCTTGAGTCATTTTTAAAGACATTTCTTGTAGGTAGCGGCTACATTTGGAGTGTCAGAAAAAACACATAGAAATATCAGTATAAGAGACATGTTAGGCTACATTAGAAAATCTCCCTCAGTTGTTTTCAATCCCTCCTTTTTTCCACCATTATTTTCTTTCCTTCTACTTACTGGACATTTATTTTCAATTGACTTCACGCTGTTATTAACAACTATATGTGCTCTTTCAGGCAATGTAACATGTGACATGTGTGAGAAACAAATTCATAATATTTTTTTGGACTTTATTGGTCTTTCACCTGCTTTTTGCTCTCCTTTTCCTCCCTAGCCTTTCTCCCATTTTTATTTCCATTATCGCTCTCCCACCCTCCATCTCGCCGAGTTGGAGTACATGATGACAAAAGTACATGAACCTCATCTTTTCTTATTTATCACATGTTTCTTGTCTGCCCCCTTTTGTCCCTGCTATCAGAGTTTCTGGTCTGGTTGTGATTCCTCCTTCTGACTTTAAATGTAAAACTAAATAACAGACCAATATTATTTCTGATATGCCCATAGAGATCTGCCTAATATTTTGTTTCTGTCAAACACAATTTTAATTGAAACTGATATTTCAAAACTGCCATCAAGTCTGCAAACTGGAAACGTAAAAGTAAGTAACTAATCGCCAGTCCCCCACACTGTCATGATCATACTGATTCAAGAAACTATGACACATGCTTAGGACAGATGACTCAAACTTTACAATCTGTAGGAAAAGTCTCCTCTGCTGAAAGCAGAGCTGAAAGTTCCTGTACATGACGTTTAGTCTCAGGAAATGAAGAGTGTGTGTGGAAGTAGAGGCCTTTTATATGAGTGAGAATATAAATATCCAAAATTTAAAATGATCAAATGACACTTAGGATTGATTGCGACCTTTCAAAAGTGGAACAAAAAACATAATTACTGCATGGCATCTTCCCACGGGGTGATTATCCTGCTTGATTACAGCCAATCACAGACAAACTGCATTGTAACGGTGAGGGTTTGTGCAAACACCATCTGTGCGTATAAAAGCATCAGACTTGCCACTGGATTTTGTTTCAGTAATTTTCCTCCACGTCACAGCTGAGAATTTAATTGCAAATAAACTGTATGGTTGGGTATTTGCGGAAAAGGGACGTACAGAGGAAAACCCTTGGAAAATGCAGCTTGATTCGTCTTCATTTTTGTCCTCCCCAAAGTGAGAATATCAGCGTTTCTGCTTCAGGGGATCACGCGTCCGTGTGATTGGTGGATGCTGCTGGACACAGGTGGCCTGTGCGTACTGGGATCGCCATGCGTCATCGAGACACGGTACACAGTCATTTCCCAAAAGCACAGCCTCTCTCGCCTTGTGAGATGTCCAGTAAGTGGAAGCTGAATGAGAGAACACTTACTCTCACATGCACTCCCACATGTACAGTGGTGGAAAGTACATTTAGCTGTACTTAATGAACATTTTGAGGAGTAATTTTGCTGCTTTACATGTCTACTCCACTATATAAGGGAAATATAATGTTTAATTTTCTGCAGCTATTTGACAGTTATACTTGCTAATTATTTTCCGATTATGATTTTACATAAAAATATTTATTTACATATTTAATGAGCTTAAAAAATACACTACACTTTCTTTTTTTCTATTCTTGTTTTTTTGCACCCAATAAATAAAAATCCAAGAAAAAGGCATGTCTTCCAATTAATTTATTTTGACACATCAGTTGTCATATTAAAACACAATGCTCAAAGTCAAATATTTGTCAAACATAGATACACACAATACATTTAAAAGCATTAAATGTTACAGACAATGTACATCCCTTAGCAATGAAACATAAAGTAAACAGTTGGCTTATTCACTGTGATCGTGTGCATTTTCCCACGACTCTACCTTGCAGGGGAAAAAGTATTCCTCCTGGGGAGACTGACAGCAAGACTGATAGCAAGACTGACAGCAAGACTGACAAGGGACAAAACTGTTTCCTAAACGCACCATCAGGCTGTGACAATGCATCAATAGGCTTTATGAAATATTTAACTTTTGACATTTAAAATGGAACAGGCACAGTGTCAGCTGGGACGTCTACTGGGACAAAAAAAAATGAATGAGAATGAACATTCTGAGATAACAAAGGTGTCTTTTTAAAGGTTAATGTCACTGAATGAATTGTCAGTAATGACCGTACTGTGCTGTCTTTTAGACAAAACAAGAAGAGTTTAGTTTTTACTGTAATGTCCCAAGTTTAGGATAAAAACACAGCTCCAAACACAATAGATACATAACAATGACAACACCGGACAATTTAGGAAAAGGGCACTTTCTATTTTCTATTTGCAAACACCACTCTAACATAAGAATGACTATAATTTGGATCAGACAAGCTCAACGTAAGATCACAAAGTCATCAACAGTTCCAGGCTGAAAATTGATAAGACAACATGACATCTATGAGTGTCTACATTTATAACTGTTACATTCACAATCCTATACTCATGTATAAATGCTATTACAAATTATTCAACTGGAACATTTACTTTTTTTAATGTGATGACATTTAATCCTGACAAAGATTTACACTTGGTTTACAGTCGGTTTCTTACACACATCTACTTGGCTTTCTTCTTCTGCTCTTGGAAGAAGTCATTGCAGGCAACAGTCAGTGCTGCCACCAAGACAACAAACTCATTGAAATCCACCTCGTTGTCTTTGTTAGAGTCCAGGTCATTCATGATTTTCTCCACCAGCATTGGATCCTTCTGAGACTGAAAACAAAAATACAGAAATAAAGAGAATATTAATCCAACAAACAAGCAGCACTGGGAATGATGTAAATGTCTTAATGATTCTCCTGTATAACATGGACGCAACACAAACTACATTTAGGTCATGAGGAACACACATGCAGTCATCTGATTGATATTGGCCCTTAATATTGACTCAAGGCAGAAGCTGCCATCCGCGTCCAGTGGAGAACAGAGTGATGTTGCTGCTAAATGACCCATGAGCTGCAGCTGATTGCACGCGACATTTATTGCTTTGCTCATTTCCTTCAGGATTGAAAAAGCAACATGTGGTTTTCCTTTTCAACCCTCTAACCTTCGAGGCAGCGGTGATCTTTATTTTGAGTCGCTCATTAAAGGTCATATTTTTGCAATGGCTGAAATTAAAATCCAGTCCACACCAAGGGCAAGTTTAGATTGGGTTTTTTATTAAGAAAACATGACTGCAATACTGATGAATATTTTATGCAGTTTGAATTTTTTCATGGTCAAAATAACTCAAAGCTATATTTAAGCATACAGCTAAATTGTGTTCTGCATGTATGAATGTATATATTTTTATTTACTTTTAAAATGTGACTTTCATGCTTTCAATGAGTCAAGTATATTGTAAAAAGAGATAAATAACCAAGATAAACTATTAACTTATAACTTTTTCAGACTCTTACACATGATATATATATATATATATATATATATATGTATATATATATATATATATATATATATATATATAGTTTTCAGCTGACGCAAAGTTTAAAAAGCAAACAATATTTTTCACTTTAAAAGAAGAAACGTTTTCTCTTATCATTCTGTTTATCTGAACAATTAAAAAACCCAAATTTGGAGATACATGGTTTTCAGAGAGATTGACACTTAGGGGAAAAACATTTGTCAAATTATTTCATTTAACAATTTCACACTTAAATAAAATGTATTAATTAAAATATACAAGTAGTTCCAAAATTACCAAAACTTAAAAAAAAAATCATCTAAATTTAAACTACCAATCCTGAATTGAGCACCAAATTTAAGATAAACTGAAACAGAAATAATAAATAATACTTCTACATATTGTAAAGGGAAAAAAACAAAACTAAGAGACATGGCTGTCCTCTAAAGCTTCTCTCTCCTCTGCTGTCTGGAGTTTCAGTCTGGGGAGCATCTTTTTTATATTACACACCTACTTCTAAACTGAACGATAAATATACAGTAGTTTATCAAGCCTTTGGTTTGCAAGTGTCAAAGTTTTCTGTCAGAGGAAACTGAGAGTGAATGTTATGCTTGGGCTGCATCTATTCTCAGAGGTGACTACAGCCCCGGGGGATGTGACGACATCATGACAGTGTCTATATTTGGAGGCGATATAGGCCACTGATGATGATGTGTGTGCACCTGAGGCTTCCCATCCGTATTAGAGGACAAGAAGAGAAGAGGAAAAAAAACATATCTGAGGGCATCAGAGGTTTGACTCTCAAGCCTCAGCCGTTTTGTTGATGTGTTGATCTCAATCATCTGGAACATGAGGCTTGTCCACACTGCTATCACATAGACTCAGGGGCTGAGGCTTATCTGAAATGACCTTATCTATCTCCCCCTCCACATTCTTTATTTCCCACAGCGCTATGATGTGAGTGCCACCAGCAGTTACACTTTGACAGCAGCAATCAATGAGAAAACAATTTCCTCAAACAAGGTCAGAAGGCTCCATCTTAAATCATTTGAAAACATGGTTATCTCATTTGACTTTTAAGCGAGTCAGGCAACAGTAAAGTGTCATCCAGAGTGGGAAAGATCCTTAATTAAAAAAGTGAGTTAACATAATTACTATTGGACATTCTGGATCAATTGAGGAAATACAGGGAGATGTACAGGTCACACTTTGGTGCACCAACACATTCCCACATTCTCTCTTTCTCTCTCAAGGTGCCATGTGTATTATGTGTCTTTGATTTGTCTGTTACACTTTCCTACATTTCCTTTTTGTGAATATTTAGTGCCTCCTAATATAATAACTTTATCTGAAGTAATAGTAACAGTTATTCTCAGGTGGAGTTGAACCAAGGTCCAAGCAAATATTTTGAAGTCAAGATCGCTGGCAGACTGGGTCTTGGAGGTTCAGTCCAGGAGGTGAGTGTCTATTGAGCTGCTGTCTTAGTGTATCAGAAGCTGAGGTTACCTATTTGAGTGAAGACTCTAAGCTTTTAGATCTACTTTCCTTGCTTCATTTTGGTGGCCTGACTGTCAGGACACAAAAACTGTCACTGGAAAATCTCGCTGCAGATGCTCCAGTGACAGGGGCTGAGCAAAAAAGACTTCAGAGGAGGGGAGGATGGGTCCTGCACTGCTTCGATCGCTTCTTTTAAAGCACTCTGGTTGCTACCTGGCTACGGGGTTCAGTATAAAAATGCCACACACAATAGAAAATTAAGAGTCAGGGCTTTGCTGAAAATATTCACAAATAACTATGTCCCAAATAACTTAAATGCTTGATCGCTGTGAGGATGGTCATATTTTTCCTTTTGAGAAGACTTCTCTAATTCAGCGAAAACCTCAGCAAACTGATGGTGTAACAACTTCAATTTAAATGCACAATAGACTAAACAATCAACAACACAATCGCAATACTGAAATGTTTACTTTACCATGAGGAAGTCAGTGAGCTCACTGTTCAAGAGTTGCTTTAACTCGCCCTTGTTGAGTTTGTATTTGTCACCATCATGTCCAGAGTAGTTATAGAAGACTGTTATCAGAGCATCCATTGCACCCTCGAGTTGGCTCGGCATTCTGCTGGAAGGATGATAACTCTTGCAGGTTCCTGACAAAATAAATGTTTTATGGTTTACACATTTAATGTAACAAGACTAACATTATTTAGTAAGAAACAGAGTATTTGTGAGTGGTGTTCTTACCTGGTTAGAGTCCCGTACAAATGTGATATTAGACCCAGCGGCACAGCTTGTTTATGAGGAAATGAGGAGAAGCTAAGTGGGCCATCCTCTATCTTTCTGACGATAATTAATTCCACAGGTGAGACGCCCATGGTAACTGTCTTCCTTTCCAGGTTTTAATCAAGGCCGCTAAGTGAAAAACAAAACACGTACCTGTGTAACCCTGGAGCCCCCCCAGGTATTCACACATGTCTGTGTCTCTTACATAGACCTAGAACTATTAGAAGAATTATCCACCAAGCGTAGAAATTTGTTTTCGGCTCACCAAACAAACAAAACAACAACATGAGAAACAAACAAGCAGTTGATAAAACTCACAGACAAGGTCACGTTACACTTATTCTAAGTTCATTGTATTCATCTTAAAGGAAGAATGATGTGGATTATGTTTTTACATTTTATTACATTTAAATTAGTCTTTTACTGATTAAAGCCATTTCTAAATGTATTTATTTATGGCCCACATGTGTCTCCATTACTTTTTTTGTGGAAATGTAAAGCAGTCCTGTCCTTAGAACCACAATGGAAAATATTAACTGAAAAAAGAAGTTCATGTATTTTGCTCAGGGGAGACTTGCTTTTTACATGAGTGGACAGAAAACATTTGTTATCTGTATGTAGGTATACATGTACTGTACACAGTGTGTGTATCTAGAAAGCAAATAAATACATTTATTGCACAAGTATTGTGCATTAGAAAGATTTTGAGGTACTTTTTGAGTATTACATTTTGTGTCACTCTTAGCCACTACAATCAGATACAATCATACATTATCAGGATAGGAATTTCTGAAATCTTGCAGTTAAGTCAAGTTGCTACTTCCCTACGCCTCAAGAAACGCAATGGCGACCAATAGTTTTAGGGTTTTCGCCTCCTCGTCAGCGTGTCAGCCTCCCATACCTGAAGTCACCGGTTCGAGACAGAACCGTGCTGATAGCCAAGACCTGCAGACATGAAGGATAACAGTTTGCGTCACATAACAAAATACCGGATATTAATATGTTATTTTCAGTTTGAGTGACTCTTTATTTACTTCTCTCTACATCAATCTGGCTGCAGTTGGCTTGTAACTTTTTAGCAACAGGCCATGGAGGCACAAGGAAGTCTAGCATACAATACTATACAAAAAGTGGATGTTCTAAATTAAATATGACTCTCCATGACAAAAGTTTCATTGTTTGAGCATGACATGGTAACACTTTTATAGTTCTCTGTTAAAGGAGCTTTTCACTGAAGGTCATATTACTAGCAGGAGGAGTACTACTCAACCTCTGTGTAGTATAATGTCCTCTGTTTCTCTGTAAAATAACCCTGACTGTGTCACAGTGATGTCATCAGGATTATCTCTGCTCGGTCTTGAGGCTTGAAATATATGACAAAAGTGCCTGCACAGAGTTGGAAGGACGTGTGTGTTTACACCCTGTAAAGAGTGTTTACAGGTAGGGTCTAATGGAAGATAGCATGCAGTTTGTGGGAAATGTAGCATCTAGCATTATTGGAGCTTGACCTACATCAGGGACTAAAAATCGGGTTATCTCTCAGCCTCTGCTGCACCAATGTTGACCATTCTCTTAAAAAAATCTGTCCCGCAAATTACTTTTACAAACTATATCTCTGGGGTACACCTGTAAGAAGTCTGAATCAAAGAGTTTCCATGTGTTCTTATAGTCATAAAATATTTTTTAAGAGTAGGAAGTGGTGGTGATCAGATTGATGGACAATGGCCGTACAAAGTCCAGGAGATTGGGGCCAGAGAGCGGAGTTTGCATCCTGTGTGGTTTGGTTTACGGAACAAAAGCACTTCTGTAAGGGAAATATTGTGATTTCACTAAAAATTTCTTAAAGCAAACAAGTTATTTCTAACACATTAAGTCACTTTTGACTTTTTCAGTGTACGTTCTTTTTTGAAGTACTGTGACTGCATAATTATAACCAGAGCTGACTTACTTGATTGGGTTTTCCAACATGGCAACATCTGCATATCCCATTTACCTCAGCAGTGTGCACTCTACTTTACTGAAACCACAGAGCGGGTTTTGATTTGTTGATGTGTTTTGTGCCTCCCAAGAAACCACTGGATTCACTTCATTTCAGTGAAATAAATCAAACTGTAGAGACTTGCTTGACAGCAGGTTGCCATTCTCTCAGTTTCACCTTGTGATTCAAAATCGTCATGTTCTCATTGTAGGGTTTATTTTTAGCAACAGCAGCATTCGCCCTTTGTCATTTCGTGGCCGACGGTCGCTCTCATACATGATTTACCCTCCTCTGTCACAGTGGAGAATAACACTCCATTCATCCCTCAGCCCCCAAAGACAACACCTGAGGGATATTAGTTGTCAGGTGTGCCTGCAACTTTTCTCCCACAAGCAGCCACTGCCACGGAGAAAATAAGTTTCCATTTATTAAGGTGATGAAACAGTTTCCCTCAGCTGCTAGTAGTAACTGTTGTGCAAAAAGATGACATGAAACCTTCAACACAAACTGATACCACACCAAACACTGTGTGCAGTGAAAGTTGTTGTCCCTGTTGGGAGTTTTAAGCCCAGCTCACAGTCTTTAAGAGGATAGGAAGCTTGCCTCCTACCTACGTGACAGATGATATATCATTTTATGTGCCCTCGTGTACCCTCAGGTCCTCTGTCACATCTTCAAGGTCACTACCAAGACAATAGGAGATTATACGGCTCTGAAATATCTTTCTGCAATAAGATAGAAAAAGACATTTGAAATGAATGTCACATGAAGACAATTGATCAATACTGAATTCACCTTTGATGTGAAGCATGAATCAACTACTGGACTATAAGTTAATCACATTACTCAGCAGTTCCCCTTCTGCACGCCTGTCTTTGCTTTGTGAAACACAATTTTTGTACTTTGTTGTTGAAGTGCATTAGCTGTCTATTTACCCACCACCCAGTTCCATTCAAGTACATTTTTTGTATCTAAATTAAAATTTCTACATCTCATCAGTTTATGTGTGACTATTTTTGTCCCATTGCATAAACTAAGATGGTGAACAAGGTAAACACCTACTAAACTTCAGCTTGTTAGCACTGGCAGTGTGAACATGTAGCTTAAAACTCACTGTATTTAAGCCTGTCACAAACCGGGCACATGCATGTGATAAAGATGGGAGACAAGCCAAGCTAAAGTGCTAAAAGATAAACACGGAGGGTGGCAATTTGTGCATGGAACTGCCGAACTGTCCAGGGTGTACCCCGCCTTTCGCCCGATGTCAGCTGTTATTGGCTCCAGCCCCCTGCGACCCTGTACACAGGAAGAGCGGTTGAAGATGGATGGATGGATGGATGGAGAGAGAGAGAGAGAGAGAAAGGGAGATGGAGAGTGATCTTGGTGGAGGACTAAACAAGTGCCACCACTTTAGGTTTAACAACCTCCCTGACTGCAGGCTCCTGCAAGAGAGAACAAGTCACTGCAGGCAGAAAGCAAGGGGCTGTAACAAGCCTCTCAACAAGCTGCTGGCATGGCTGTAGACTCTCTTGTTCCTTTTGTCTTGCTGACGTGTGCGATGAAACCTGCTGAAGTCTCACACTGACTCTGTATTCTCAGGTTTCTGCACCAGGCTGACTGGAGGCTCTGTCTTCCACTCTTGCACAGGCTTTTTGAGTGGGTGTGGACCTTCACCTGATGATGAGCCCTGACGTGATTCTGTTCCTATTCCTTTCATAACTTCAGCGGCGTTAACACATGCTGTCACACAGCCCTAAGCAGCCTTTACATAAAGAAAGAAATGTACTCAGGATGAAACAATCGAGGGCTATTTTCACAACTCTGTATCTCTTCTTCTTCAGGTTTAAACACTCATATTTCGACTGCTGAGAGCAACTGATAAAACAACTGATGATACAAATTCTATTCTTTGTCTGACAATTACTTTGTTTTTCAAACTGACTTTTCTGTTGTTGGGCCTGAATTCAGATAATATAACATGAAAGCGAAGTCTGGTAGCTGTTGTATTGGAGTTATTACAATATTGAATGCATCTTGATTTTTTAAATGAAATCATTTGTGCATGTTTATAAAGTGTTTCAAAACACACTTGTGTGCAATCATGTCACTAAACAAATGTATGTTATACTGTTTTATCAATATTCATTAGCTGTTCACTAAATGTATAACACATTTACATTAACAAACACATTAATAAAATGTCTTTATATCTGCTCATTATAGTGTGCTATAAACCATTTATTAAAGGTTTATAAAGTGGTTATGACTGCAGCTGAAGTGTAGCTTTTTGTCAGGGACAAGTGGTCACCATAGCTGTGGCTCACCCTGTCAGGATCAGAGGAGAGGATATCTCACTGTCTGTTCTTCTGTGACTGAATTTGACAAATTTAGTTACCTTCTGAATCAAAGATGACTTTTGAGTGATCAGGGCATTTTCTTTAAATGTCAGAGACATTTATTTGAACATGCCTGTTACCACGATGACTGTGTGTTGGTATTGATTTGACTGTATTGTACAGTGGTAAACTCTTATAGGGATCACATCTGTCTGGCTCAAATGGTTCACTATAAGAGGATGATTATTACAACCAATTTGGTTTTGTGTTTCTTTGACATTTGTATAATTATTACATGAATATGAAGATGGAGAAGTGGATAGGACACATGCCTTTGATGCGAGAGACCCGGGTTCAATCCCCCACTGTGACACTGAGCAAGACACTTAACCCCTAGTTGCTCAAGAGGCGTGCGACCTCTGATAGACATAGTAATGTGGAAAAGCACATTAAAACCAGCCAACAAGGTACAGAAAGCAAGAAAATGAGCGATCTGGACAGTGCTTCTAGGACGTGCAGTGGCAGCAGAGCTCAATGGACGGTGTGCTCTCCCTCGGGAGAGAAGGGAGTAGTCTCACGCCATGTCATCGTCTCCTCAGACACCTAGTGTTGCATGTTAGTGATGAGGTGAAGTATGAAGTTCCCCTTCTCGTTTATTTCACCAACACTTGTTGGGCAAGCGGTAACACAGAACCAACACTGGTAGTGATCAGCTGCATTCAAACAGTTGTTTGTAGCACTGTAGCAACTTCTTCTTATCAGACTTGACAAAGTGCCAAAATCCACACTGTGCTTGAAAGGTTCAACGACAAGTCAGTCGGTCAGCCGCCGGATTTTCAACCTCGAGGTTATTTGTGATTTCTGTGATTTTCACAGTTTTTTCTCTGGGTTTGACATTACGACTGAGACAGATGTAATAAGAGTCTCCAGACAGTGTACAGCCTTTACTACAGTCTCACTGTGTTTTCAATGAATCAATTTTCATGCACTGGCCTCTGGAATTTCACAGACCTTTTTGCATTTTGAATCTCTACATTTTAATGATTTGTTTCCAAAATAGTGGCTCTGAGTTGCTCAGATAAATATCACAAGTACACTTAAATTATATTCACTTGTGAACAGAGTTAGTGTTTGAAAGAGAAGCCTTCTATACAGTACATAATCCATCTGGATTGCACACGAGAAAGTTTCATAATCTGTAGTATTGACACTATACTTCTGCTCACTCATCACTGTCCACTGCTTCGCTAATCACTGAGTTGAAACTGTTGAAAATTGCTGTCTTTAATATTAAGCTACCTTGTCACAACTTTTGAATCCTTTTTTAAATGAGGAAACATCAGATTAAGTTTTGGCAGCTGGCCATTCAAATCCAGTTGGATGGCTCCTCTTTCATTGTTTAATGAAGTGTCTTCTGGGACTGTCTTTGGTGAAGATTTTTACTGCCCTCTAGTGGCTGATAAGTGGTAACAGAAAGGGTATGGCAAGTTCTGCTTTGGCTTATGTTCAGCGAGCATGCGCTCACGTCCTGTTTCTTTAATGCATCCCAGTTATAAGATGTGTCACTAATGTGAAATGTGTTTCTTCTTCTCTGTGAAAAGTGAAAAGCATAAATTGCAACAAATTGTATATGTGCCCTAAGTACCTCAACAAAATTTGAACCTCAGCTATTAAGCCAACATGAACAGGATGTGCTCTAAAACATCTACAATGTCATGGCAGCTGGTCAAACTCCATCTGAGGATGAAGATCATTAGACATGAAAGCTTCATTTGTGGTGAAATTGTTTTCTCAACTGCTTCTCAGGGGTTAAGAACTAACTTTGAATCTCATATATTCATTAGGTTTTTGTTTGTAAAGATCTGGGAACAGCTCAACATGTTCCAGCCTTTTGTAATAATGCTTAGATTTGGAGTGAGGATCAGTGGTGTCTGAATTAGACAGTATCAGTTCGTACTAATACACTAGTAAAAGAAAAATGTTTCATGTGTTGTGTGTGTGTTATTGTGATTTGCCTGTGTAATATTAGTTGTGTGATATTATTATAGTGAAGCTGAGTCATGCCAGATGTATTCATCTAAGTGTCATGTGTCTATGGAAAGAAAATTACTCCAATTAATGTGGTTTGTGTTGAGCTATTTTTACAAAACATTTGGTGTCCTGGCTCCTTTCTCATCGTGTCAGTGTTGAAAGACTTCATACTGCTAACTGTTAATTAAGAATCTCATGAAACATAAGTGATAATAGTAAAGAAATACAAGTCAAATGACCTAATATCTGAATATGAAGCAGGCTATCACATGATATTTATTTGATTGACGATTGTCACACCATAGTAACAAGAGCTGTGATCACTGCTCCAGTTCAGTTTTAAACAATGAAATCCTGTTTTTCTGTACTGAAACTCCAACTGAGCAATAACTACAAACCAGAATCGGAAAGGAAGTGCTTTTGAATGCATGTCTCATTTGACAGCTTTTGCTATGATTAATTACTCTTTAGGGCTCATGTTGTGTGTGTGTGTGTGTGTGTGTGTGTGTGTGTGTGTGTGTGTGTGTGTGTGTGTGTGTGTGTTTGATGATCTGAGAGTGAGAGAGACAGAAACATAAACAATAAGCCTGTTAACATATATCAGTGGATATATAACTTGCTGTGCTATACCACTCTGTTAATGTAGCTAAACAAGACCGCCCTTGGTTTCTTGTGACCACGTCAGATTCAAAAGTAAACGGAAGCTCTCTCTCCATGATTTGGGTCAAAAATGAGAGCTGTTGTGGCCCGGCTCCTGAGTCCTGGCTGCGGTCCTTGTGCCCATGAAAAAAGGGCCTTTACAGAGGGCCTTTTTTTAAAAAACACAGGGGGGTGGGGGGTGGGGGTGGGGCTTGAACATACATAAGAGGCTAAGACGGTCCGCCAGTCCAATTTGGCACAACATCACCAGACAATTTGCTGTTGCTTAACCTACACGAGGAAGCTGATTGGATCTTTCCATTCATTTAGATCCTCTTTATCCTGTCCTGGGGCTTGTTAGAAAATAATCCTCTCTGATCGGCCCTCTTTTGGAAGAGAAGTGCTGCATTAGTGATGAGCACAAGCAGGTTACTCAGAACTGAGGCTTTATCCTGGATGTTGGCTGAGGACAACGTGACTGGGGGCCAGTCCCAGGGGTTGATCCTGCAGCCTGCCTGGGACTACCTCCACCAGAATCACCATGACCTCCTGAGGAGCCCTCTCTTCCCTGTGATTCTATCCGTCACCACCTATTTCCTCCTGGTTGGTATTTACACTGTGCTGGACCTGCTGGCTCCCTGCTGGCCCTGCATTAACCGCTACCGGCTCCACCCTGACAGACCCGTCACGTGGCCTAACATCTGGACTACCTTGAGTGTCACCATCTACAACCATCTGCTCTACATCTTTCCTGCTGCAGTTGCCCAGTGGCTGTGGAGGCCGCCGACCCCGTTACCCTGTGAGGCACCCACTTTCTGGAGCTTCTGCCTGGGCATCCTGGGCTGCATGGTGGTCTTTGACTTCCAGTATTACCTTTGGCACCTGCTGCACCACCGGGTACCCTGGTTGTACCGCACGTTCCATGCCGTACACCATCAGTACAACCAGCCTTTCAGCCTCGTCACCCAGTACCTGTCTGGCTGGGAGTTATTCAGTGTGGGATTTTGGGCTACAATAGACCCCATCCTTCTCCAGTGCCACTGCCTCACAGCATGGGGTTTCATGGTCTTCAATGTCTACGTTTCCACTGAGGACCACTCTGGCTATGACTTCCCGTGGTCCACGCATAACCTGGTGCCCTTTGGCCTCTGGGGTGGTGCACCCAAGCATGATGCTCATCACCAGCGGCCCAATACTCACTTTGCCCCGTTCTTCTCTCACTGGGACTGGCTGGGAGGCACCCACACTGGGCTAACTCCCGCCAGCCAGGCTGCAGCTGGGGAGCAAGACGAGGTGAAAGGTGGAAAAGACTGAAGAGTTTTATCTCTTGTTGACTCGGTCTCTTTTACTCAAACTGCCTCCTATGTACGTGCTCTCATTCCAACATTGCCTTTTTTCCTACAGACCCGTTTCTCTCCTTCCTGTATGCCTGCCCTTCCTGTCTTTTTGATATTATTATATTGACTAATTTGATATCTCCCTCTGCTCTCTAACAGAACATGGATAATCTTCACAGTTTAGAAGTTTTGATTTCTGTCTAACATTTCTTCACTGTCTGGTAAGCTGTTGAGAAGAATGATCTTTTATATCAATTTCTTGTATATTTTCTCTTGTTCATAGTGATTATGTTAGTGTATTGATGTATTGTTATGTTGTCTCCATGACATTCTCAGGTCAGTTTCCACACATGTGTAGCCTTGAAAAATAAAAACAAAAAATAAAACCACATACTTGACAGTTGTTTCTTTATAAGTCACTAGATAGATATTACTGAGTATTTGCTGATGGTAGATGGTGCAATCTGTCAGAGTGATTACACACACATTAGCACGTACATTCTCCCTCTCCCTCCTCAGCACTGACCCTCTCACTCACATGCATGAATAGCAGCCTTTTAGCTGCATCCCAGTATGATGCGTGGGCGCAATACTAATCTATCATCCTCTCTTTGAGACAAAATGCTCTTACTGGAAGAGTTCTTCATTAAACGAAAGACAATATATTATTAGAAAGTCTTCAATTGGGAAAAGAATATAAGAATTGAGTTCACAACACAAGTAGTTGTTCTTTGAAACGTCTTGCTATGTTGATTGTTCATCAATCTCTATTCAATAAATCAATCAATTTTCCATTGATTAGATTTTTTTAGAGCATAAAGTCATGTGGCTTTTTTGAGTCAACATATCCTCAAATAATGTGGACAATTCTAAAGATGTACTGACCACTATTATATATATATTTTCAAAAAAACGTTTACTTATATGAGGTATTGCTTGCATTTCAACAAACCAGCAGAGGTCACTTTTTCCCCCAAACAAATCAGAGAGGCAAGACTACAACAGTTTCTACAGACTTATTTTGACAGTTTAACAAAACAAAAAAGCACATGTTGCCCTTTGTGCAGAAGCATATCTAATGATATCACAGAGGAAATGCGGTGTGTCATAACATAACAACAAGCTATACGTAGGAACTCGTCCCAGACTCCTGTTTGTTGTCAGTCACTTGGTAACGATTCAGGCAGTAGAACTGGTTTGGCGTGTTGCTGGATTACAAAAGCAAACAGGTCGCGTATATTTTAGAAACCTTGCATTCAATCTTGACAACTCAAGAATATGTCTGTTTGTCTTTTCTATACTTATTCTAGTACTTAGATCTTCAGTATGAATTTTTCCCATGTCTATTTATGGCATGGATGGAAAAGGGTGGTGACGGAGCAGTGAATAAGACACATTCCTTTGGTGTGAGAGACCTGGATTCAATTCTTCACTGTGACACATCCACCAATGTGTCCCTGAGCAAGACACCTAACCCCTAGTTGCTCCAGAGGTGTACGACCTCTGACATACTTAGCAATTGTAAGTCACTTTGGATAAAAGCGTCAGCTAAATAAATGTAATGTGTGTGCATTCCCACCATAAATTAATAAAATTTACTTAAGGAGTTCAAGTTAAGCTATTTCCTGTAAAAGACTAGACTGGATCTGGCGAGGTTTGAACAATTGGGATTTGTTATGCAATCTACCACCACCTTATGGACAACAACTACTCAGTTGTCAAGACAACCTTTTACACTGACTGTTGTCATGAATCTGGTCCTACCAGTACTAACCCTCATTACATTATTTATTATTTCTTCATATTCTTACACTAAGCCAATGGTTCCCAACCTTTTTTGTCTGACGTGTCCCCACAGCCCTATCAGATGTTCTTAAGTAGGGGGTGGTAATGGAGCAGGAGATAAGACACAACACGCCTTTGATGTGGGAGACCTCGTTGCTTCAGAGGTGTGCAACCTCTGACATATATAGCGATAGTAGGTCGCTTTGGATAAAAACGTCAGCTAAATGTATATAATGTAAAGGTACCCCTTTGATAGTGAGGGATGGCTTTATGGTGTTGTTTAGCAGGTTTGGCCAAGTTTGTATTTGTATACTGCCGTTTGGAGTAACAAAAGTATCTTTACTTTTAGCTTTTTATTGTCTTCTTTCTAACTAGATTGGTGGAAAACTGAGGCGTGTCTTGTGCAGACAACCATAGTTCGAAAGCTATCGTCACAATAACTATAAAGACCAGCATCATGATTGTCTTGATTAAATTTTTTTTACTGAACACAAATATGTGGATATATATTTATCAAATATTGATTTCTATTTTTTCCAATTCTTGCCATATTAACACTGCCTCTCATGGCTGGCATAGCAAAGCTGTGCAGAGAAATAAGATGTTATTATGTTGTGTAGATAAGGCTCAAAATGTGTTATGAGGAAAACTTAGTATAAGAAAACTGCACTTTGCATTAACGTACACCTTTAGGTAATCTGCTTTTCATTCATTCAGTCATGTATTCTACAACAGGAAGTGTCACGCCCTGTGTAATCGAGGATTCACTCAAATCAACTAATGAATTCCCAACTTATACAAATCAAAACCAACGTTTCAGTGTTCACTTTTATGTAAATTTTTAAAAAGGTCTTAAATTACCTTCAACTCTTTTTCTTTTCTATGTTTTATAAAGATATATAATCAACTTTATAGAAATATAATTCCCTCTCCTGTTATTTTAATACCAGTTATCCTTGACAGGTGATTTGTTAAAACACTAGCTCAAAAATGATCAAACATAAGATTTATGAAAATTCCTGTTTTCCCTGGTCACACAGTGTAAATGTAACATGGCAAGGGAGTGGCTCAGTTCCCAACGTGGGAAAAAAGGTATTTTACTCAGAGTGCTGACAAAAGGTAAGACGACACTCCAACAACAATCATTTACCTGTTTAAACCGCCTAGAGCTCTGCTTCAACCAGTCATTAAAAAGGAAGTTAATCAGCATTCACAGTCTGTGTGTGTACCTGGGGGAGGGTGATCACTCTTTTTGTGGGGTTATTCCTTGAATCAATTCACTTACTCTTTATATTGAGATAAAAGACCAGGCGCATTTAGCTTTGGTTCACAATGTCCCTTTGCCAACAGTACACTGTCTTTAAGCTGGGGGACTGAAAAAAAAAAAAAAATGTATGACTAAAACACAGACTCCAAATGAAAAAAAGAGAAAGGCTGCATTTAAGAGCAAAATAATTTATCAAGAGGAAAGCTATTACATAGGTCCCTGTGTTTCAAAAAATAAAAATAAAAAGTAATGTGAGCTGTGTTCCCTATATAGGTGAAACTGGTCTGACACTGAAACTAGTGACTGAAGCAACCTATGACTTAGTCATCCTCATGACGTGTCTCGTCACGCTCTTAAAACATTCTTGGAGAAACTAGCAGGAGACAGCTAGAAAATATCCAATCAAATAAAATCCCACCCGCCAGAACACATTTCATGTAATATGGGTACATGTGCAGATTGCATGTAGGCAGACTGGCCGTGCTTATAACAGTCTTGCGATAGCCACCAGATGTTTCTCATTTCATCTGATTTATTGATGGCTGTCAGGATGCAAAGAGAATTTCAACAAATTTTAACTAAAAATCGATCTGAAATTGCCTACTCCAGCTTTTAACACTCTGACCCTCTTTTTCTGGACGTTTCTTTAGTAAACAGTATAATTAACAACTAAGTAAAACATAAAAATACGGGTTTAAAGGAGTGGTACGTACACTTTCAGACACTAAACATGACAGCACATTCTCTGAATTCAGAACATTTCCTCAACATGTAGAGAATGATCCATGACAATGACTCTACATCCGTCTCCAGCTGTATGATAACAACATTGCCAGTGACTCACTTGCATCCTGTTGTTTTATCATTTATTAAAAAAATAGCAACACTACCACCTTTTTCCGCATCACTTTCAAACTCAAAAGTAAATAAAAACCAAAGGTGGTTTAAAATAACAAGATAAAAACCAGGAATGAACATTAAATACACCCTTTCTGTTGTAGATTTGACTGAAGCTACATTTACGCCTTTATTAAAGTCATAACTTGACATTCTCTCTTGTTAAAAATGATCTCTTGTTCCATTGCTCTCAACACATCAGGTTTGTTTGCTTTAAATGTTCTCTAATGCAGTGAACTAGTCAGTCACAATCTTAGCAAAAAACACATCTATTAGACATTTTATGCAGCCAAGGACTAACTGTTTTTAACAGGCAGTTTCTCTCTCTCTCATATATATATATATATATATATATATGTGTATGTGTGTGTATTAATGTTTTGCATTATAAAACCAAGTTAAAATGACCTCTACCCTCATCCCAACACACTCATCTTCACATTTAAAGTTCGTCTTTGGTTGTCTGATGTGCTGAGGTTACCTGGTTGCACCTGATGGGCCTCATGTTCATTATGACAGACCTAGCTACTGAGTCCAAGTGCCACCAGGTCTGTGCGCTGCCATGTTTTCAGTACACCAGAGTACAAGCAAGGCAGGATAGGCAGGATATTTGATATCTAATCAGTGTTTTTTCTCTCCTTAATCTGATTTAACAGTTACTGCTCTGTGTTTCTCCACTATTTGAAACATATGCTTTGCTCTTCCTGGAATACTTCATGGAACTGAATGAAACCCTCATCCTCTCCACAGTCCTGCTGCTCCTGCATAGCAGTGTGTTCTTCACATGGTTTCTGAAGTCCTCAGACACAAAGTAGTAAATGAAAGGGTCCAGGCAGCTGTTGAGACTGGCCAGGCATAATGTGGAGATGTAGAAGCCATAGCCATTATTTATCTCCCCATCCTTCAATAGGGAGTAATGCACCACCAGCATGATGTTACTGGGGACAAAACACACCAGGAATGTAACCAGGACAATCACAATCAACACCACAACTTTGTGCCGGTTCTTTGCTGCTGTACTGTCCTCCATGCTGTTCCCCAGAGCCCTGAGTAACAGAACATAGGCCACAATGATCACTACACAAGGGACGAGGAACACGACCATACCCATGAAGATGAAGTAGAAGTAGGGGATCTGGACAGAAGGGAATGGATTGAGGGAATCCTGTATGACGTTGACATCGTGGCACGTGGTTATGTTGAGGTCTTTGAGTTTTGCGGTGTGGTTATATAAGTACAGAGGCGTGGTGGTGAGCCAGATGAAAGCCCAGACTGCCACACAGACACCAATAGCCACTTTGTTGTTCTTCCTCTGATGGGACAAAGGGTGAGCCACAACCCAGTACCTCTGCACACTGAGGCAGGTGATGAAAAGAATGGAGCAATACATGTTTCCGTAGAAGAAGCTCACAAAGACTTTGCACATCGTCTCTCCGTAGGTCCAGTTGTTGCCGTTGAAATGGTAGAAAATTTTTAGCGGCGTCCAAATGACAAAAAGCAGGTCAGCCATAGCCAGGTTGGCCATGTAGATTGATGATGGGTGCTTCTTCTTGGTCCTGAAGAGAAATACCCAGATGGCCATGCCGTTGGCAGGGAGACCCACCACAAGCACAATGATGTAGAGGATTGGGAGGAAGACTGTGGTGAGGCTACTTCTCAGCGTGTCAGCTGTTGCCTTGTCCACAACAACTTGTTCTGAATTCTCAGGGTCCTTGTACCCAATAAACCCCCGTCCTTTACCTAAACAAACATGACAAAATTAAATTAGGGGCTGAAATGATTAGTGGAATAATTGATCAACTAATTTGATAATCAATGAATTATGTATGTCATTTGAACAACAAAAATGGTAATTATTTCTTTACATCCAGCTTCTCAAATGTGAGGATTTGCTGCTTTAGATCAGTGTAGACTGAGTATTTTTGGGTTGAGGACAATTATTTATTTGAAAATCTCACTTTTATGTTAAAAGACTGAATCTATAATGAAAATAATCACTAGTTGCTTTCCTAATACAAATATTTTAAAAAAACTAGTACATAGGCTAACAAGTTCTACAAAACAACATCTAATATAGAGGGGAACAAGGCTTTTTTTAAAAAACTTACCAGGTTAGATATAGGATATGCCCCTAGACAATATCTGTTTAAGTTACTCTTGATATATATTACTTTTCTTCGTAATTAAAAAACAAAACAACAACTGTTAGGTAGATACGCCGACGTTTAAGGACACCCCAGTCCGTTGGCAGCTTACCACAAATTAAGGTTAAAAAGATCAATTCCGTCAAAAATAATTTCTCATTTTAACAGTGTTTTAAAACATTTACCTCACTATACCAGAATATTAACAGAGTAGGTCTGTATTAATACGTTATTTTGGGATATGACTAAATGTGTGTCATTCGCTCGGTATGTCAATGACCTCACTCTTCGACAAAATAAACCCAGAGAAAGTTTCGACCTTACCTGCGGCATCAGAGGCAGAAAACCAGCAGAAAACGACCAGCAGCGACAATAACCGAGTAAAATCCATGTCTGCACAAACTCTCAGCGACACTTTTCTGTTAAGCTTTATTTATGCTTCTGCGTTTGTCTCTCGAACAACATCTACAACCAAGGCCACACCCCGAGACTACCTGTTTGGCGTCATGTCTGACCGCCTACCTGCTCTACGTCATCCTGACTAGGCTGCTTCTAGGAAGTTGAATTCAGTGAGAAGATTTACACTGCAAATACAACAATTCAAGGCAGTAGAGACAAGGTGGTCTTGAGGTTTTGAACTTCAACATTTTGCTCCTCTACATAAGGTGGTATATAGGCTACAGTTAACAATATAAACACTGCATTCCAGTTCAGTATTGGTTTCTGTTGTTTGGAAGAGGAAACTATTTCTCATTTGCATCTACTATGTATTCTTTATTTCTGGCTGGATACTTACAGTCATGTGGAATTAATGTGCACAGTCATGCGTTTGATGTCATGTTGTTATAGAGTGGAATTGAAGTTCCTTTCATATAATTCAGTTGCTGTTGTGTGGCTTTCACCTCCACACTGCAGATAATAATTAGCCTATTTTATATATTAATAAATCTGATTGGTTTCTTTAAACATCACAAAACAGTGAAAAAGTGTCTAATTTTGTCCAACCAAAAGTACCAAACGCAAATACATTCAGTTCACTTTAATATAGGCATAGAAAAACAGCAAATTCTCTGTAACCATAACATTACTGGTATTGTTACTTGAAAAACAATAGAAACAATTAATCAGTTATTACTGATTATTTCTCTTATTTATTATTTCAGTTCTATTTTCAACTTTTGACTACAGAACTCACACAGAGGGGCACTATAGATGTAAAAAATAAGATGAATGTTATGAAACTAAATATCCTCTGTAACAAGTTTGTACAGATCATATTTATCTTTTCATGACTGTTTCTCCCTTTGGGAAGTTTCTGTATAGAAACACACCCTGTTAGATCATGTGGTCTCTCTCTTGGCATAAAATGATTTATTACTAAATCACACTTTTTCAGTATATAACAATAATTCCTAATCATATAATAAGTTAAAATTGCGACAATGTGGATCTCGATAAGTGGCATTATTAAATAAACAGATTAACCAATTAAAAATTATTAATTTATTAATTCTTTGCTAAAGGCAACACTTGCCCATTATGAGAGGATGAACTAACTGCTGCAGCTGCAGTAGTGTTTGCTGCAGGTCTGATGGTGCTGAATGAAACTACATAAAAAGGGATTAAACAGCCTCCTGTAGCACAATCCACTGTCACAACAATCCCACTTTCGGTTTATAGGTGTACAACAGACAAAAAGAAAAACATTTTATACATGTATTACAAAAGAAGAAGAAAATAGTGTATCTTTTAAATAAAAAATAAGACCTGCAGATAGTGTGTCGGGAAAAATAGTTACTTTTGACAAACTCAAAAATGTAGTTAAATGAGTAAAAAAAAAGACAACTTTAAAAATATACAATATACACACACACACACACACACACACATATGTAAAGCTTGTATCATGTATCACACAACATGCTAAATGGCTGCTCATTTTAGGTCTCTAGCTTTCTGGCACATCAAAAAGCTGACAGAACGGCAGCATGGACTGAAAGATCTAACACATTAAAAATGACCATTCATCACAGTGAAATGAATCGAACTGCAGCAGACTGCATCAACCAAAGTGCATTAAATAAAAGTTATATTATCAAAAGAGATTTATATATATATATATATATATATATATATATATATATATATATATATATATATATATATATATATATATATATATATATATATATATATATATATATATATATATATATATATATATATATATATATATATATATATATATATATATATATCCATAAACATTTTTCCACAAAAATAAAAAAAGCAGTAACTTAGACAGCTCAAAGCTTCTAGGTGGTATTTGCCACAGATGGCCCTCCTAACTTTCCTCACATAAGTCACAGCAGATTTGAAAATTATTTTATGCCTGAGGGAAGTTTAATGATCAGTAATTAGCTTTTTAAGCAACACACTCAGTGCTCTGAGTGTTCCCTGTTTCAGTTGTATATGTGTTGCTCTTCTTGGAGAACTTCAGAGCACTAAAGGAGATCCTCATCCTCTCCACCGTCCGCTCACTCCTGCAGAGGAACGTGTTCTTCACATGCTCCCTAAAGTCCTCAGAGATGAAGTAGTAGACAAAAGGGTCAATACAGCTGTTGAGACTCGCCAAGCACAGGGTGGTGATGTAAAATCCATACAAGTTGTTGGGAGCCTGAGCCAGGAGGAGGATGTAGTGCACCAGCAACATGATATTACTGGGGGTGAAGCACACTAAAAACATCACCAACACGGTGACGATCAAGACCACAGCCTTTCGCCGCTTCTTGGCAATGGCTGGATCCACCATGCTGTTTCTGAGAGCCTTGAGCATGAGGACATAGGATACGATGCACACAACCGTTGGAACAATAAAACCCAAAGTTCCCATTGTCAGGAAGTAGCCCGCTGCTATTTTCTTCTGACTGGGCCTCGTGACGTCATGGCAGGTGACAATGTTGAGGTTTGTCGCACGGACCTGTTGATCATACAGGTAGAGAGGGATCGTGAGAAGCCAGACCACCACCCAGACTGTGATGGAGATGGCAACAGCTACACGGTTGTCTTTCTGATGGGTGAGCGGGTGAACCACAGCCCAGTAACGCTGAACACTTATACAGGTGATGAAGGAGATGGAGCAGTACATGTTGGCGTAGAAAAATGCCACCATCACTTTGCACAACCCCTCTCCGTAGATCCAGTTGTTGCCGTTGATGTGGTAGGCTATTTTTACGGGGACCCAGATGACAAAGAGCAGGTCAGCCAGAGCCAAGTTTGCCATGTAAATCGATGCTGGGTGCTTTTTCTTGGTCCTGAAGAGGAAAACCCAGATTGCCATGGCGTTGGTGGGCAGACCCACAACAAACACGAAGATGTAGATGATTGGCAGGAAGATGGTTGTAAGATAACTGCTCAGGACTTTTTTGGCTTGGGAGCTGACCGACACCCCCTCTTTGGTCTCTATACCGGTGAAGCCTCTCTCTTCTGTGTAACATAATGACATGAAAACATATGAAAAGCAGAAATGGAACAGATTTACATACAGGAACATACTAAAACTGAAGAGCCTTAGTTCCTTTCAGCTGTGTGCACTTTGACCTGTTACTTCACACATAACTTTATTGTTTAGTGTTATAAAACTAATTCTAACAGATTAATCCCGCCTATAAAGGCAACCGAGCCCAAAACCTCAAAGATGCTGGGTATATTAGGCGTATGTAGTTCAGTAAAGCACTTTTTGGATCCCAATTCTATCTGAGCTGAATATGTTGTCCGTTGAGACAATAAAAACAGCAGAGATGGAAAAGAGAGGAGGGAACTTACCTATTTCCGACAGGCAAGTATGCACGCAACACAAAAGGATGAGCCTTTGAATCCAACGCGTCCTCAAAGTCATGACAGCCAATAGCGGTTAAAAACAATATCCAGCTCCTTGGGTGCGGCTGAGTTGCTCCTCTTCGTTCACGGTTTGAGTGTTATGCCCTTGTACAAGGCTTTCAAACCTGCGTGACATCAGGTGTCAGGTGACCGCGCGTAGTTTACCAAGACACACCTCCGTTTATTGTCTGGGCTGTAATTTTCTTTCCGCCATAGACAAATCACCCGGAACAGAGCTTCTTTCTCTTATCTACACTCCGGGAATAGGCCTGTAATCAATGGCATCTCCCGACGTGTCTGATAACATCTAATAGGTTTGCAGAAGACATAATTATGGTTATTATTCTGATTATGTTATTATTGTTATTAAGCCAGTAAACAACCTCTAGTTTGACTTTTTGCAGCCTATCTCTTTGGTTTAAAGGTCAAAATAAAGTTCCCTATGTTATGTATGATAGTCTAATTTTTAAAATTAAGTGACAAACTATATAGCCCACAGAGCACAACGTCGAACTGATTTTCTGAAGTAGCTTATGATAATGATAATTGAGATCATAATTTGACCCACTTTTACTTCCCCTACATTACTTGTGACATTATGAAGATGCAACTTGTGCACATATTTACAAGTGCACAAATGAAAACATGCACAAAGGTGAGTGGGTTATGTGATATGCTATATATATATTATTTCTATAAAACAACGGTATGTATGTTTTTTTAATTGTTGTAGAGGGCAGGGGTCTTCGAAACTCAAACAACAAAAAAACATTAGGGTTAAAGAGTTGAAAAACTTTCTATAAGATTTGCATTGTGTCATGAGTCATGCAAACCAGCATGACCCACTTAGAAAAGCAATAAAAACCAGGTCAGACCATCCACCAGTTGGAGTGTTTTATGTGTTTACAGTCAGGCACATGCAGCAGTGGAGCTGAACTCATGAGTTGATCATTGTCAGAAGATAAATCAACAATTCTGATAATCATAAATCATTTCAGTCATTTTCAATGACCCAGTGCCCCAACAATGCCAGACATTCTCAGGTTTTTCTGGTTTATATCACTTTTATTAGAACATCTTTCGGTTTTGGGTTCTTAGAAATTGTGACAATTTTACATTATTTTTATAAGCAGGTAATCAAGGCAAAGATTTGGCAGACAAGTTGATATTTAAAATAAGCATTACTTGCAGCCCAATAAAAGTATGTGCATATGTATGAACCTCTAAAGAAGCATAATTGCACAATCTTTTACAATACATTTACTAAAACTGTGCGTGCTGCACAATACAAATGTACTGAACTAATATTATATACAAACAAATGAAAATAGTGCTTTATTTTGTATTTCACTTAATAAAGGTTGTGAAAATATCAGACTTTCCCTTATAGCACAGCATTGCACTGAGGGAACACAAAACTCCCTTGGTGGAGAGCCTCAACTTTCCAAAAAAATAGGATGACATTTTATAGTCACCATAATGTGTGCAGCAGAGGGTTAGGAGTAAATAAGTGGACAAAGAGAAACAAACTACGTAACAGCCATTTGTTTTAGCCTGGATTGAATAATTCAAATATTGTTTATTCAGTCAGTAGTTCCTTTACACAAAGACACAACTCTTGACTAAAACCAATACACAGTGGAAGATAGGTGGTCATATTCTTTCAGGCACTATCTGCTGCAGAAACCTGGACAATGGTGAACAGCACTTCACATTTCTTACCAGCAGAGAGCAGTAGTAAACAAACTATGCCACCATCAGACTTTGCTCAGCCCATTACTGTTATATATATTTATTATATAATGTATTATATACATATATATGTATTTATATGTATATATAGATATATACAAAGTAAGACATGATTAACAGCTTTTCAAAAGTGAAACATAAGTGTGTAAAAATAAGCTTTGCAGCAAATGTATACAGAAAAAAGACAAAATACTAAGTTGTTTCCTTCCATTAAATGTACATATTAATTTTCTGCTTACAAGTTCACAAGCTCTTACACATACAGTGCAAAAGTAAAAGCATTTCATAGTATCAAATGTTGAGCAGAATTGTTCTAGAAAGCACATTTTTATCTAATCTCAATTTCCTTCCTTCTTTATTCATCACTCAAAAGGAACGTCTGTCACTGAACATTTGTTGTTATGGAACCAAGATTCTTAGCTATTTCTGTTGGCACGATAGGTTTAGTTATCCTCCCTTCATTATAATCATGAAAGGAAAATACATGCAGGAAGCTAAACCCTACAGATTCAATTTGTGCTCCTTATTTTCTGGTGCTGAACTTCATAATAGAATATTTCTATTTCATAACTTTAAAATCACATATCAGTTAAGACGATTAATCCCTCTTCAATGTGACAGTCTTATCAGACCAGCAGTTTCCTGTATTGGCTGTTTAGACTTTTTTGGAAAGAGTCCATTTTGGTGACGGGAGAGTTTATTTTGGAGCTTTCTATGGATTTCAGAATTGTTATGCTGCTGGATCTGCATGAATTAGATGAGGAATGACTGCTGCTACTGCCCTTTGTGATCTTCTGACACCTCAGTGCCCTGGATAGTTGCCTCTGGCATTGGGATGATCCAAAGTAGTAGACCAGAGGATCCAGGAGGCAGTTCAGACTTCCCAAACACATAAACACCAGATAGGCTGCATAGGAGCCATCAGGGGCCTCCCGGCTCTTCTCATATCCCTTATTAAACTGCACATAGTGTGCTAGCAGTAGACAGTTTGTGGGAGTGAAACACAGCACAAATATCACCAACACAGTTAAAGCCATCACCACTGCTCTTGTTCTTCTGCGTGAGCTTCCTGAAACCCCATGTGGGACCCTGCTCAGTGACCAGATCACACGCGTGTAGGACACCACAGTGATGAGCAGGGGCAGGAAGAAGAGGGCACAGCAGATGGTGATGAAGTAGATCTTGAAGTTTGAGATTAGCACATCAGATGACTGGACATCATGGCACGTGGTGATGTTCAACTCTTTAAGCGGAAAAGTCTGTTTGGAGAGGACGAGGGGCACTGAACCAGCGAAGGATAGTATCCACGCGACTCCACAGGCTATGAGTGAGTTTCGTGGCCTTCTCCAAGCCAGGGAGTCGATAGGGTAGACTACAGCAAGAAGCCGGTCCACACTGATGCAAGCTATGAGGAGAACGGAGCAATACATGTTCCAGTAAAAAGCTGCAGTGACCACGCGGCACATGTGTTCTCCGAAAATCCAGTTGTTGCCATCGAAGTGGTAGAAGATCTTAAAGGGGAGCAGCATGGCGAATAGCAGGTCAGCGCAGGCCAGGTTCAGCATGTAGATCGCTGCCGGCTTCTTAGGACGGATCCCTAAAGCGAAGGCCAGAACCGCACCGATGTTGACTGGCACACTGATGAGCCAGACCAGTGAGTAGAAGGAAGGTATGAGGACGGTGGATACAGGGCCTGTTAGAAACAGCATTGCCTCTTCTGTAATTTCTGACCTGCTGGAGTTGTTTGCTTTACTTGCAGAACGATTAACTTTGGAGATCGACCCATCTGTATGAAGTTCATCCAGGTCTATTGGTTCATCTGTGATTGAATTGTCAAAACGAGTGAAGGTCCTGCCTCGCATGGTGACTGGAGAGAGAATAAATTGTGTCAGGGTCAAGACACAGGATTGAAAGACATTTTTAAACACATAGTGATTTATATTAGAGCTCAAAGATTGACTGATTCATTGATTTAGAGCTGAAACAATCAGTCGATTAAATGATCAACAATCAATGAAAAACAATAGCTCCAGATTCTCAAATGTGAATATTTTATGTGTTTTTTTCAATTAGCCTATATTAAATTGAATATCTTATCTGAATTTCAGACAAAACAAGCAATATTGAATGTGTCAACCAGGGCGCTGGGAAATAAACCTGGGTTATAGACTAGTAGTGGTAGTTGCAGCCTTAAATCAATTAGCCAATTTTAATGGATTAATGGTTTCAGTCATTTCTCAAGCAAACACTGTGGAAAATAGCAAATATTATCTGTTCCAGCTTCTTTGTTGCTTTTTTCTTTTATATAAATACTGAACATTTTTAAGTTTGACATGTGATGGTGTCACCATGGGCTGCAGGGAGGTGTAATGGCCATTTGTTTACAGTTCGTTGACATTTCATTGACCTTACCATCAATTAAAAACCACAGATAATTTATAATAAAAATAATCGTTTTGAAGCTGCAACTAATGGTAAGTATTGATTAATCTTTAGTCAAAGAAATGCTGAGAAGAAATTCTGAAAACAATGCCCATCACTACTTCTCAGAGCCTAAAGTGACCTCATCATGTCTTGTTCTGTTGACTAAAGGTCTAAAACTCAAAGTTATTCAACTTACTCCATCTATGACAAACAAAAGCAACAAATCCTCATATTTGAGAAGCTGGAACCAGAGAAAGTCTAAAATAGTTTTACACCTGCTAGAAAAACAGATGGACTCAGAATCATCAAAATAGTATGTTTTTTCTGTCAATCAAATACCATTAATCAAATAATGTTTTCAGCGCTACCAGCATCCACGTTGTTTTAAATTCAGTAGAAAGTTACGTGAATTCTTCTTACCGTTATTGGCTGCACCCGAGGCAGCACACGCACACGCACACACCAGAACCAACAGGAAAGTTTTTGGATACAGTGAAAACATATTGCTGCCGAAAAATGAAGTCATAAAAACAGGAGAGAGAAAACCGATTTTAAATTCTTCGTCTTTCTCAAGACTTTCCTAGGATATTTCTGCTGCTGATCATCGTCCAGTGAGTGTAAAAGTGAGTTTCCGCCCACAGTCCAGTAGGTCCGAAACGCCCCGTCCACCAATCAACTGGAGGTTGCACACAGAGAGACATTCCTATAGTCTGATGTCACCTTCCTGTCACACAGCAGCAGCCAGATCCAATTAAACTATTCCTGTGGGAGAACTAAATTAGCCATACCAAAAAACAGACCATTTACTGGAAAATGGGGATTATTTTCTTTACTATAATACATATAAAACTTGTGTGGATGCAGAAAATAAAATTACAACTAATAGTGATGACAGCAAGTGAACATTAAATACATTATGTTTACAATTTCAGTCAGTTAC